CTCTTGTTAAATCACCCGCAAACCATGGTTCAGCCCCTCGCGCAAAATTCCACTTTGCGAGCGCAAATTACTGCACGCAAAATTGGATCTTGATAAATCCGGCCCATTGAGTTCCAAAGGTTTGTTGTGAAAACACTGTAGTCTGCCAATGGATTTTCATTATCAATCTTCTCAAATAAGCAGATGTGTCTTTAGGTTATGCACCATTTCTTAAGCACAGTTTTGCCTTCCACTTATCAGCACTCTGTCATCAGCCATGTTCTTTGGTGAGGACCTTGGTTATAATTATCTAGGTCATAACATTGAAAGGAAATGAAAGTCCATTTTTCATTGGTTTTACTGTAATACTAAAATTATCTAACAAACTAAATTCTGGGTTTCGATTAGCTGTGAGCCATATTCATAAAACAAATCAGCAACATGATATCCTGGGTTTAGTTTTAAAGCCAAATTACATATACATTTGTCAGTAATGATGTAAGTCACTCAAATGCAGCTTTCGAATTCACTAATATTTATCGCTGTGAGCCACCATACTAAATTATATTCTTAAGGGATTGTAGAAGAACACGTTAGATTTCAACCAGTACTTTGGAGATCTCACATCACACCCTGTCAATCAATGAGTTTCACATGAGATGGTCTTTTGATAGCAGCCACAGTCTGTAATTCCACAAGACTTTAATTTGACCTGTTCTATCCATCCCTATCCACCCCCCCCCCACCCCAAACACACACACAGACACACAAACATACTCTTTACAACCCACTTTCCATTGCTTCACTCTATTCTCCAGTCTAGTGCTCTCCAATTACCCCACTGGAGCTACTGGTTTGTTAAGATAAGTGAGGCGGCAGTGGAGATAGGCCTCCAATCTGAAATAAAACACACCAACTGCTGTATCTCACCTCATTGCTCTTGCCGATGGGGCCTGCATGGCTCCCACTTCCAGAACGACATCACAGGAACAGCTGTAAAGAAGGGCTTATTTTACTTCCTGTTAAAGCAGCAGCTTTAGATGAAAAACACAATCATTCAAACCCTTTGAAAACAGACTGAAATTGGTTTGAAGTTTGAATTTTTTTTTTAAACCATATTGTCTTTCAGCTAGAGTTTTAAATCCCTCCTTGGTTTCCAGGCTAATCATCTCCATCGCAAGATATCTTGTTCTGCTTATGCAAACCTCCACTTAAAAAACAAAACAAAACATGAAACACTTAAATCTTTAAAACATCTAAAGACAGTGAAGCCAACATTTAAATTTAAGTATGCCATGTGCACATTTGAAATCAGCATTTTATGTGCATTTCTGCCTTTTTGTCATTCCAGGTCTCAGAACGCTGTAACTATGTTTTCGTAAATGGGAAAGAGACGAAAGGCAAAAGCAGCGTGATGCTCAATTTCACGTACGGTTTCCTGAGCTCGCAGCTGGAGATGAGTGTGTGGGTGCCCCGCCTGCCCATGCTCATTGACATCGCTGACCCTGAGCTTAGCCAAATAAAAGGCTGGAGGGTCCCTGTCACAACTGGCAATAGAAGGTAAAGGAGAACTAGCTTGAGGCATAACCAAACTAAACTGCTGCTCTGGGGCTTCAGGACTGCTTGTGGGCCCCCAGGAGCACATAACTGTTTGGTTGGAATGTATATTATAAAAAATACACTTATTTGATATTTTTCTTTCTTTTAAGTCTGATTTAAATAGTATTTTTAAAAGGTTAGCTTCTGTCTAAAAATTGACATACAGTGAAAAACACCTTATTTTTTATTGTTATTATTACATAACATCTAAGTGCTGTGTATAAACAACAGTATCCTAATACTATCTAAATGTTGAAGACAGCAATGTTCATTTGTATAGAGCTCCCCCGCTGATGTTTGATCCAAAAGTTTCCCAATTTACCGTCCCTGACTCCCAATTAAAATGTAACTTATTTCTGCAACAATAAATTGTGCATGGTTTAAGTAGTTAAGCTTTTAAAACAGCTTTTTTGAGTTTCCTTTAAACTATAAATCCACTTAAAAGTGAACACTTTTAGGCCTGTGTACATCTAATATGCAGTAGCTAAGCAGATTATTTCCAAATCATGTTTCTGTGAAGCTTAAAGTGTAAGCAAATTGGACCTTATTTTTTTGTGATAAATTTCCTATTAGCCCAACCTTTCTCTGCTAGATTTTTACACATCACAATATTTACTTTTTATGATGTAAAGTTGTTGTAAATCGAATAGGAATTCAAAATCAGTTTTGGTTAAGGTATTAGCCCCCCTTTAAACCTTTTGCCACAAAAAAAATAATTGCAATTATTAAGAAGGTATTTTCAAACTTTTTTATTAAATGAAAAACTGAAAAAATTGGTTTGCAAAATTATTTAACCCCCTTGAGTGAATACATTGTAGCACCACCTCTGCTGTGATTACAGCTGCAAGTCACTCAGGGTGTATCTCTCTCAGTTTTGCACACTGAGAGTCAGAAAGTTTTGCCCATTCTTCCTGCAAAACAGCTCAAGCTCAGTGAGGTTGGATGGAGAGCGTTTGTGAACAGCAGTTTTCAGTTCCTTCCACAGTATCTTGATTGGATTCAGGTCTGGACTTTGACTTGGCCATTCTGACACCTGGATATGTTTATTTGTAAACCCTTCCACTTCAGATTTTGCTTTTTGTTTTAATTAATGGACAGACAAGTGAAAGATACAGCCTGGAAATATAAAACTTAAATGCAAAGTTTTTGATGGAGTATTAAAAACAAGATGTTGGTTAAGAAAAAAAGCATCTAAAATTTGCTGAAAGACTGTCAGTTGATTTGTTTACAGTAGAGCCAATTGAATCAAAAAGTACCTGCTCAAACCCTAATTTGGAAAATAAAATCGGCAGTTTGCCCTATTTTCAAGGAATCCCATTGTTATTGATATTAATCACTTTGAATGGAATCTGTTCACAAATTTGCAAATGCTGCTGTGGGTTTTTTACACAGCTGCATGTTGCCAACCATTAGTGAGTGAGTGAGCATTAGACACGCCACAGATGTCCTGAAAGTAAAAGGTTAGTCGCGGTTAATCAATAAGTACAGTACAGTCATTATCCCCCCCCGATCCTGTGATAATGGCTGTCATCCTCATCCCCCGAGTTCAATACTGAGCTCCAGATTCAAACAGACAGAAGGTCAGATACCTCATATTTCAATAACATTTTCCTGAATAGGAAATGGGACAGCCTCACAAAATTATTTATACAACCTAACTATTTTTAAAATTAGTCATGTCAAAGTTTCAAACATTTTGGGGTTTATTGTGAATGTAGGAAATCATTTAAAACAAAGACAAACTTAGCTAGATTTTTTAAATTGTTTTATTGATCAATACAATTCTATTGTAGATCTGACTGTATGGTTGGTCAGTACTTTTTTGAAGTCAAACTCCTGCCTCAGTCTTAATTATTTTGAAGCCTAGCAGGATTCCCTTGTATTCCAGATTCTTTGCAGCTCCCTGCCTTTTGGTGTTTCACTATGTGTTTGGTATGTTCAGAGTAAGATGTAGTTTAAGTTTACCCAAACTTACATTACTTGTGGTAAAAAGCCCTCACTACAGTATGTCTTTGCAGATCGGAAGCCATAGCTTGGCAGATTACAGTTCTGTTATTGTTCAGGAATGTTCAGATGACGAAGAGAACCGTGCCTCTTCAGGTGCCGGAGAATGGAATGATGTTGCATAACTTCATGTTATATAACGGATTTTCTTCATAGAAGAGTTGCACAAGATTTTTTTAGGGGTACCTCAGTAAGAGGGCTAAACAGCAATGCAAACCAAATCTATGTAAAGATTTTTAAAAATAGTGCACATTACAGTAAATCACAAAAAAATATAGATAGCTTTCTGAATGAAAAACGTTTAAAGATTTAATTGGACGTTTTGAAACACTTTATAGGTGTACACATGTTATATTGAGAAAAAAAATAATTCTGTCAATTACTGCATGTTTCCTAAAGGGCTTATTTTAGATTTTGCAAATGAAGTAAAATTGATAAAAATCACAAAATAAGCCACAGAATGTTAAAGGTATGAATAAAACTCACTGATTATGTTTCAGTACTTAGCAACTTGGAAAGCTCAAAACCTTTTTATAGAAGTAGAGCAACAGTTGTGTGGATATAATAATTCCCATGTGAAAATAACAAGAGTTTCAATAAAACGATGATAAACCAAAGAAAAGACAGAGGAACATTTTTGCAGGTATTAGACCAAGGTTTTGCTACTAAACTTCAAAAGTTGGACAACAGTATTTAGCCAAGAGTTACTATTTTGTGCAAAGTTGTTGAGTCAGAGTGATTTAATTCAGGCAGCATTGCCATCACATGTTAAGCTGTGACCTCAGGCTAAGTAGTAATGATGTTTATTTGGACTTTACCACTTGACGAAAGCTTTCTGCCTGCAGAGTAAAAACATTTCCATCAACCCTGCAGCACACCTGAGGTGCAGCGTGTGGCAGGACCAGCTGCGTGTATGATAATTATATGATCATTGCTGAGAGGTTCACAGCTTAACCTCTACCACATATAAACAAACCACTCAGCCATGGGATTGTGGTTAATTTAAGTTAAATTGATTTTGAGGAAAAAGGTCACTCCACATGTGCTTTGCCTCCAAAGCAGCAACAGCAATGCTGTTGAGTTTTGCTATTTTTCCTTCAGAAGTTCACAGATTAACAGCATGTTTTTGTTGTGCAACTGTTGTCTGGAAAATGCTAGAAGCAAGTGGAAATAACTTTTCTGGGTATGTGGGTAGGGAAGAAAAAAAATCTGTCCAGTGTGTTCTTATGTTACTCAAAATAAGACTAGAATTCAAAAAGCGACACTTTACATTTATTACATTATATAGTTCAGATGTTTTTTCTTAATCCTGTTTACTACAGAGACTATATAACATTTGCCACAAAAGAATATTCTAATACAGAATGATTATGTTATTGTCATATTATATTGCACAATCACAGGGAATTACTTTCCTTCTGTCCAATAGACAGTCAGTGAAACTCATGACAAAGAGGGTAAGTCAAAAAAGTCCTTGTAAAAACCTGGATTTTTACTGTGAGCTGTATCCGAGTGTAGGACTTAAAAAAAGCAGAAAAGATTGGTCGGAATAAGGACAAGTTAAAGGGGAAAAAGACATGCAGAAAAATGTTAAATCTTCCTTAATCTCCTCAGGAAGGCCACTGGATGATCACCTTTTTATCTTTCTATTGCAGTAATTTATGCTAAGGAGCCCTGGCACAGTATTTCTCATTTCTCAGTTTTATTACACTTTGTAGACAAAGAAGAAAAAAAGTAATTCAAATAATTTTTTTATTTTATTTTATTTCTAATGATATTCTCATTTGTTAAGAATCATAAATTCACTACATAAGTGTCCCTGTAAGTATTAGTTGATTATTTCTTGTCTTTGTATGTCAGATCTACATGGGATAGTGAAGAAGATGAAGACATGAGGAAGGGCCGTGGATGCATGTTACAGTACCAGCTATCGACATTGAGGGTGTTCACGCCCTTTGTGGCCCAATCTGATTCTGAGGTTCTGCCAAGTCCATTTACTGGAGAGAAGTCTGTTGAATACTTTATAGGTTCTGATTGGCAGGTAAAAACATACAAAACATTCCCACACTGCCTGGCTGCAGATGTTGGCTACTATTCTAATTCTGAATGTTACAGCATTTTAAGTCATTGAATATTTTGTTTTCTATTTTTTAATTTGCAGGTAGATGTGACAAATCTTGTACGCAATGACCTAAAAGTAATAAACCCTGAAATCGCTAAAGTGCAAGATGGGATCATACTGCAAGGACGGGCCGTGGGGACCACTGTTTTGCAGGTAAAGCATCAGCAAACCTCTGTGTGCAGCTTATTTGTTGTGGGTTTTTTAGCAGTCTGAAAGGGATTGTGTTTCTCTTTGCAGGTGTTGTCCCCACTGACATCGTCTGTCCTGGCTGAGAGAAGCATTAGGGTGATGGATGATAAAGTGAGCGTGACAGAACTAGGGGTGCAGTTGGTTTCCGGACTCTCTCTGTCTCTTCAGTTCAGCCCCGAGAGCAACAGGGGTATTGTTGCCACGACGACCATGAGGGAGACAATCACAGAGCTCAAACAAGTAAACAACTTAAATTCTCAGTTTCTTTTCTGTTGTAAAAACTTCAAGATAGAATATAATGTAGGCAAACACAGTAGCCCTTTGAGAACAAATATGACAGAACTCAAATTCCTGGATGAAGCACTGCATAAGCACAACAGGTGATTTCATAGTCTGTGTTTTGATAACATATATCATCATACAACATTTATGCTCTGATCAGTGCATCAGAGCAAATAATTATTTGAGCTTTTGCTTTAGAACCTAACAAATTGACTAAAATTAAATATGAAAATTGACTAAGATCAATCTAAATAACATTACTCTGTAATAGTATTTTTTCATGAAGAAAAAATAAAGATACATGGTTAACTTGAAATTGAAATGAATCCTACATGCTCATTTTTATCAAAATTAATCCAAAAATTACCTGTACAAAAAAGTAACATGAGTAAAAGAAAGAGATACACATTTGAACTAAAATTTTGCCTCTTTAAAAATGAATGTGTTCTAAGTTTGGAGCCTGATCAGCAGCTGCAGAGCTCTGAGAGACCAAGATGAAGCAGACAGATGATCATGTTAAAAGCTCACTCACACATTTAGCTGTGGCAGTCCGCCCATTTTAAACCAGCTCCCTGTCACTGGCAGGCTCTCTTTTACATTCACTGCACTGCTACTGCCTCTCTGTCCCAGTCAATAAACCTGCCACTGTGGATGACCAGCCAATTGTGACTGTGATAGCAAGCTGTTGTCCTCAGGGCAATTCACGATGTATTCAGATCTAAAATATAGGTTAGCATTGTGGTGACCCAGAAGTGCTGAGTAGCCACAGGAAATGGGTCATTTCGTTGTAATGTCACTTGATTGGCTAATTCTGTACCTAATGTGACCCCTAATGTCTCCTTTTTTGGTAACGCTGAAGGATATCTGCTATAATATTGTATAAATTATAATTGATTAAAAACAAATTTATTTTTCCATGCTTTAAGAGAAATTATTCAAGTGTATGCTGTTTGGAAAAACAATTTAATAGCCAGTTGTTTCTTGGTCTGAATCAATATGAAAAAGACAATGGGGGTATAGAGAAAACTTTTTCAGGCTTCATTCTTTAATCTATTGTTAGAAATGTTCAATATATTTCCTTTATTCCTTTACTGTTTTCATTCTCCATTATTTTTCCTTTTCGTTGTGCACACCCACTCCTTTTCCTACCTTGTTCTACCCTTGTTACTATATTTTCCTAACTTTCTAGTTTCCTATCTCTCAGTTCTATATCCTTTTTTCTTCCTCTTCTTTCCAGATCTCTGTAATTATACCTTTTAACTCAGTTTTCTTTTTACTTTAAATTTAAGGCTTGTCCACTGAAGAAATATAAATTTGGCACAACCTGAAATGTTTTGCATTTAAATCTAAGTATAAAGGAGTGAAAATTTCTACTTGGCATGTGGAAATATATGGAACCTGTCCAGGAATACTAAGTTCTGTTTTAAATTCTGCATTATAAATGATATCACTATTGTTTTCTATGATATGTCATTTAAAAAGCTTTTGTTTGCTTCCTGACTTGCATACTCATTTACTCTTTTTTCAGTTTATGCTTTTTTCTCTCCCGCTGTTTTTGTTTTACTACAGGAAGCAGTGGTCAGTTGCTGGATTCAGTTTAGCGATGGGGCAGTTGCTCCACTGGAGCTTTTTGACCGGAGTGTCTACTCTCTCACTGTTTCCACCAATGATGAGAGGGTGGCCACTGTGCGGCGTACTCCCCTCTCCACATTTGTGGTTGCACAAGGCGAAGGTGAAGGCCGTGGAAGGCAGGTGAGGGTGGAGCTGAGGATCTGTGAAGAATGCCAGAAGTCTAAGAGGAAGAGTAAGCTAGCAGTGGGGGCAGGAATTCTCAAGACCAACTTTCAAAATAGCAGACATAAAGCAGGAGGTGCAAATAAAAATATGGGATCAACGGGTGAAGTTGAAACAGCAATGACCTCACAAAAAAATGTCACAGTGATGGATAAAAGGCCAACAACTAACCTGCAGTCTGTTATGGTCGAAAGCACAGCCACGACAATTTCAAACAGCTATTTGCAAACACCTCCAGTATGGGTTGGAAAAACAAAACCTACAGGAGCTTTTGCATCTGGTGTCAATAGCATGGTCACTCAAACAACCATGAAGAAAATATGGTCTGATGCACAGTTGAACACTGCCAAACCAACAGTGAGCTTTGTCAGTAAAAGAGATGGGAAGAAGAACCAATATGGGAGCATGCTTGACAACTCAAATACATCCTCTAACTATAATGCTCCTGGAGGTGACAAACCTGAGAAAGAGACTCCCAATACTAAAACACCGAAAGTAATTGGAAGCGACATCATCAGAACATTCAAAGCCCTGTCAGACTTAGAAATTGGCATATATTCCTTGATAGGGGTCTCTTGTGTTGGTATTATGGCTTTTCTGCTCAACTGTGCTTCATATAAGCTGTGCTTTAGGAAACAGAAGACCCCCATACAGACAGGTCCAGCTCCCCATGCAGACCCGAAGGACCACAAGCATGACTGGGTTTGGATGGGGGGCAACAGTCATAGCACCACTACACCTGTTGCTCCGGTTGCTCCGACTCAAGTCTCAACATTAAAACGTGAGCCTCACCGCCCCCTTGAGTCCCACCATTCAATAGATTCAATTGGTCCCGGTGGTTTGCAGGGGTCTTTGCCAACTGTTAGTGCCCCAGCTGTCCCAGAAAGAACCGCTACATTAGGACGCTGCAGGAGCAGCTCCCAACACCAGTTTAAAGCAAAGGCAATAGACCCTATGGCAAACAGGTCAGCCACTTTGCTTGCAAGGCCACACCGCAGTGAACCTCTGCATTCTCCCACGAGCAAGAGAAATCAGGTCCAGTTCACCACTTTTACAACTCTGGACATAAAGCACTTGGCTGCGCTAAAGAAGAATGGTGTGGACTTAAACTGGGCTAACCAGAAGACGCAGCAGCAGCCCGCTCCTCATCCCCAGACACCTTTACCTGACATGCCTTGGCCTGTTGTGACACCATTAGGAGAACCCCAGTGAGTTTACTGAAGTGGCCATACTGTAAACTCTATGTTTGCATGGGAGGAATATGGTGCCTTTTAAATATTCATACCTGTTGATCTTTCCACATTTGGTAACATCTCTGCCATAATCTCATATATATTTCATTGTGAAGTGGAAAGGATTCATGCTTCTTTTATTTTTAAACACTGAATTCTAAAAAGTGCTGTGTGAAATTATGTTCAGCTTCTGAAATGCATTGCTTTGTTGCACCACCTTTTGTTGTGGCTGTAATTGCAACCCTTTTGGAGTATACATCTATCAGCTTTGCACATCTAGAGGCCCACTGTTTTTTGCAAAATATGTCATGCTCAGATTGGATAAATAGCATCTGTGAATATTTATTTCCATGTTTTTGATAGGGCTATTCTAATGTGAATCCACTTTGGGCTATTCTGTTATTTCTCTAACTGTATATTTTGGCTTATGAACTTGCAATCATAAGCCATTACCGAGCAGATGACAGGCTCACAGACTTTTTTGTTTTATTTTGGAAGCCATGGATCATTACCCTAACAAATGTTCTACTACTCTGCTTTGGTCCTTCATATAAAATTCCCACAATAAGCACGTTAATGTTTGCAGTTGAATTATGAAAAAATGTGTTTCAGTTGGTATGAATACTTTCACAAGGCACTGTATTTCTAAATGACATGAGACAAGTTCTGACAAGAAATGTTAAAAAAATTATGATGGCTAGCATTTTTAATGTCAAAAGGTAATGGGCCATAAAGAATTTATACAATGTACGAATATAGGGCTTAAGAATATTGTCAATATTTATTGTGTAATAATTCTAAAACAGTCTGTCATGTATGTATAGATATTTATTGTATAGTATTTTACACATATATACATTTATTGGTAAAAGAAAACAGAAAATAAACAATGGATATCTAGTTACTTTTATACAATTGTGTAGTTATAGTCTGAGTAGTTCTAGACATTGTTAGTCATCAGAGTGGATGCAGTATGAGACAACTTCATCCTTGTAAATAACTCCTTTCTGCTACCAAAACCTGTAATATGACAGAGAATTATATAATTATTACTTTATTATAAACAATCTATCAACATTTTATATTTAGTTATTTATTTGACAAGGGAAAATGCACAATAATCAACATTTTGCACTGTAAATATACCTGACTTAGGTAAATTAAGCTAGTTTTGTATTAGTATTACATACTGTGTCTATGTTTGTAGTTTAGGCTTCAGGTCTGTCCTCTGGATGTACTTAAAATAGTTAAATGAGAAAATGTCAAAAAGTGCAATACATATTCATGTGAAATTTTTGCATTTGTAAATACAAAAGTGATGCCTTTTTAATTAAGATTTTCCTGTTTTTATAGAACAATTTCCTGATAAATTTCTACTAGTATAACATTTTCTTTTAAAGTTTTATTTAATTGCTTTGTCTGAGACCATGCAGTAATTCTGACACAATAAATTGTTTGGATTAAATGTCTGAAGCTTATGTCGGATTCAGTTGTGTTTTACTCCTGAATGTAATTTACAGTAAGTTTGATGTCATATACCTCTTAAATGCCCCTACATTATGCTGGATGTGCCTACCAGTGTTAGGCCTCCGTGTTCCTGCACTGTATTAAAAACAAAAAGAAAAGAAATTGCCCATCATTTCTTCTATCCTCAGATCATCCCCAAAGAATTGTAGAAATGTTATACTGGTGGTCTAGGATAACTCGCAGTTCACCTTCTTTCCTTATTCACTCCTTCCAGTGTCTCCAAGGTTAGCACAGCTCAAAATTACATTCTATGAGCAGTGATGAATAAACACTGTCTGCAGCTTAAAGACGACCGGATAAGCTGATTTTATGCACAACATGAATTTGGTTCTTGGAATGTGACAGAATACACATCATTCCATGCAAACAGCTACAAATGGATTTAGAGTGATGATAAAAAGACTTTTTAATATAATCTAACTAGTTTCTCAACAAACCTGACTCTTTTGTATAGTCTTTCTTTTTATTAAGCCTCTTTTTTCACGGGCAGCAGAAAACGAAAGAATGTTGTAGAAATTTTTAAAATCATCAATTTAACAGCATCGATAAATGAAAATGGACATATTCTAGGTAGAAAAAGCAGTAACACAATGTCCCTTATATTGCCTTTTAATTTGAAGCCAGCATCTTCCTTTTCCCCATTCCATGTTATTCCTTTCTCACCAGTGACATTAGCCAAACATATATCTTTTTAAGTGTGTTGGCCTTATCACATTTTCACCTCATTCAATCCCAATAAAACAATATGTTTACCAAAAGGAAGGGAGCTTCTTAAGTGTTGAAATATGAAGTATAATTAAAGTCAGACAATTTATTCATATTCAGCTGCTACATTTTTAGACCTAATGCCAGCCCTTAGGAGAGCTTTGCATGTAATAAGGAATATAACCTATAAATAATGTAAAAGTTTAGGGGAAAAAAGGAGTTGAATCTCCTGGTATCATTGCAGCTGGATCTCTAATCTGCAGCATCAGCTTCCCTGTTGACAGATTTGAAGGATTGGGGTCATTTTGTTTGAGGATTACTGTGCATTAGTGAAGTGTCTTGGCAGCAGAGACCCGTTAATGTGGGCTAAAAGAGACAAGGTCACCTTTTTTTTTAAGTCTTTTTTTTAATCCATGTTGGATATACAATCATATAGTGGGAAACCAGAAAGCAAAAATGCAACAAGAAAAGTCAAGAAAGCAAAAACTATGTGTTTCTTATTTATGGGGTGTATTTGATGAGTATGTTTTTATTTTCCTTATTAGTATGTTTTTACTTGGGTGGTTTGGTTTGGGATTGAAGGGGAACAGTGGAAAAAAAGTTTGTGTGTACAAACTTGGTGATCGAAGTTGATTTGGATTCTAAAAAGGTTATTTTTATTTATAATTTATATTGGATGAAGATAAATTGATGGAATGCGACATCAGTCACATTTTTGGTTAGAAAGACCCAAACACAGTGTCTATTACTAAAGTAAAAGAGTCTCAAAATAAATCAATAAAAAAAATTAGCTAAATAGCTACTAAATGTAGACAAATGACAGGCTGTCATGTGGTGTGGAGGTTTGTAGAGGACCCAAATGCAGAGATGAAAGCTGAGATGGTTTCTTGTAGATTTAATTAGGACTGGTGGCAACAGAAGCATAAATCCAGAAATAACTGATCAAGGAACACAGGAACCAAAACAAAGGGGAACATAGAGCTTAAAGAGGGAAGAGAATGCAGCCAATACTAACTGCAGAGGAGGGGTATATGTGGCAACCAAACAATGAATGGAGTAATCAACTGATAGGAAGCAGGTGTGGTGAGAAGACTCTAGAAGGGAGCTATGGGAAAGGAGATTGACACAAGTGGCAAGAGAGAGTAAATAAGAAATACATAAGACCTCAAATGCAACCAGAAAACAACTAGAATTACATAAAATGGAAATAAAACCAATGACCTTGAAAACACAGAACAAAATCTCAAAAAGAAATGCAGGGTTAGAGGGGTATGTCATAAAACCCGCTCTGAAAAGCTTTATTTCATGCTTGAGTAAGAAAAAACATGTTAAGCCCCCATTACTGGATCTCATCAAAATGACATCTTGGCTGCTTAAAAAGGCATAATCATGTTACATGCTATAAATTAAAACAATAGAATATGCTCCTGAATTAATTCAGTGCAGACAGGAGATTTGTTAAAATAATCATAGTTGAACATTAATAAAATCTTGTAAAAATATGAACAGACAGGGATTGAACAAACCAATACCCTCACTGGCCTGTTATGATTAAACACATTTGTGCTAACTTTTATGTAGTAGAAGATGTCATAAACCACACACAGTAACAGTAGACAATGCGATAAACCAATCATTGGGAGCAGATAGCAGCTTGCTACTAAGTAAAAACTACTTCTACAAAAAAAAAAAAAGAAATGCAAAATTTCTTTTATGAAGGCAGGCCCTGAAATACAGCAAATATGAATGGAAAATCAGAATGAACTGGCTCTGGGTGCTTATAGTTCTTGCTCGACCTTTTTATGGACAGAAAGCTTAGTAAAAACACACAATATCCTGATGATAGTCAGAGCTGCCATAGTTCTTTAAATGTGGTGATCTGATCCTCGATGATATTAATAACCATTCAACATTTTTAACCCAACAAATATTACTACAAACTATTTGATCATCAATGATAACATAAGTTTAAATGACCTGTTATATATGACCGTCCGACAGCGCCTGTAAAGTGGCAGCTTGGCATGGTTATTGTAGATATAAATCATAGGTGGAAGTTCAACTGAATATACTGGATCACTTATGCTCATGCATGTAGAGGCTCAACCGTCCATGAAGCAGGTAATTAGCATTCAACCAGTTCGGCAGAAACCCCCATGTTGAGCCTGGTCCTGCAAGAGATTTCTTCCCAAGGGAGTTTTTTCTTTCCACTGTCACTTCATGCTTGCTCATCATGGAGGATTAACCAGCACCTTGTTCCAGCCGCCATCTATCTTTATTTCATCTTCCTTCCACAACCACTTTTAGGTCTGGGGGGACTTTATCCCTGTTATCTTTCAGCAGCTCATGCATATAATCAAAGTAAATTTATATGTTAATGTACCCGCCAAGATCAGAGCACCAAAGACTTAAAATATTGTTTCAATAAAACTCTTTTAATTGCCTTTCCTTATTTTGTGAGTTTTCAAGTTGAATTACAATATAAGTGTAAAACACAGACACACTAACAAGAACAAAAAAAAAACTAACAAGCCAGCAGGATATATACTGTAGACTTTTTTTTTTTATAAAAAGTTTGTATATAACCAGATTTAGCTACTTGCATACATTTTGTTTAATATCATATAATGTGAGTACCCCCTTTTAATGTCAACAATGCAAGACAGGTTCAGCTAAGTGTTGCTGCGTACATAAAGGGTAAAATACCTGCACTATTATAGCACTTTTTCAAGTAAGAAGTTTCTGAATTTCCCAAAGCGTTCCGGAATCAGATGCTGCTTTAACCCTTTAGTAAACCTTGCAGCTCATTACAGAGTTTAGAGAGAAAGTAAACCATGATGGAATTTGATAATGCTTCTAAATTCCGGTATAAACCTATTCAGAAAGGGGATGCCAGGCTATTGTTGGTGAAATGAATAGTAAGTAAATTGTTACCCTTTTGATCATACACTTTATTTTAACAGGCATGTTCAAATTAAATGTGATCATAAACCAGTGTCAGTTTAGATAACATATGTTAAGTAAGTGTTAACCCATAGTCAAAAATCTAAATTCAGAAAAAAATGTTGTCAAAAACTTCTTTCTAATTTATTCTTCTTTAATT